GACTGGCCGAAGTCACCAGACCAGCCTCTGAAGGTAAATGCTCATCTATCAATGCCCTATATATTTTTCTCTAACCCTTGAGGTAAGAGTGTTACACATTGTACGAGAGCCAATTTGGTGCAGTGATTAAGGTGCTGACATAGAAAGCAGAAGAGTTGTGAGTTCTAATCCTGCCTTAGGTATGAAAGCCAGCCGAATGACCTTGGGCCAGTCACTCTGAGCCCTGTCTTCCTCACCATTTTGTTGTGGAGAAAATAGAAGGAAAAAGTATTAAGTATGTTGACCTCTTTGAGTTACTTATACATTAATAAAAGAGAGATAAAAATCTAATAGATAGATAGATAGATAGATAGATAGATAGATAGATAGAGCCCCCCCTCACAGCTGATCATTTATGAAGCTATGTTCCCCCTCTGTCAATTTGTCTCTCCCTCCTTGCACCAACACTAACTGAGATGTGCAGATATTTTCCTGAAAGAATATACAGAATATATTTTCCCAGAATATACACACACAGCCTGATTGAGGAAAGAGGCCTCTGAAGGAATCAGTGCTTTCTTTGAAACACTTTCCTGAGTGTTGTGCAAAACATGGCTATACTGACACCTAGTGGACATCTAATTTCCCCTCTACCCCCCCCCCCCATGTACAATTGTTCTGAAAAGGTGTAGAAGGCAGGAACCTCACAGATCCACTGCTTAGAAGAGAAACCTCAAGAAGTTACTTTCTGGCTTGTGACACAAACTGAGATAGCCTTAAAAAAACACTTTGGTGAGCTCATGAAGCCTGGATGGAGAGTAGATGTTGACACAGCCAAAGTCATCAAGGTGGCTCTAAGCATCACCCTTTGCCTGTCAGAAATAGATTAGCAGTAAGTGTTTTCTGTCTGGGGATTCTGTAAATTTGCAGAACCTTGCTAATTTGTTAAAAAGGAAGCAAAAGGGAAAAAAGAAGGGGCAGAAAATGCCCTGGTAGGAATCCCCCTTCATGATTTCAAGGTATCAACAACAGAACCCTGACTTGGCGGCTAAAAAGTCTGGGAGTTGAAGTCTAGGCGATATCTGGAAAGAAATATATCATCTGAAGATGGGGGGGGGGGTCTGGCTAGAAAAAGGTTAATGAGCCCTGCTTCAGATTTGGGAGCCATTTTATAAATTGTATCTGTTTAATATTGGGAGATTTTGATCAAAATTGTATTATATAAACAAGTTGTTGGAATTTTAAAAGGTAAGATTATTGTCTTTGTATAAGATGAGGCCTGTGGGGACTAGCCAGAAACAAATCACTGTACATCTGGCTATTATTGCCATGATGTTTTTGGGAGGAAGATATTTTCCAGATATTTTGGGGAGGAAGAATGTGCCACCATTGCTTACTTACAAAATGTAGCTTTACTTGAAACAGCTTGCATCCTTCGCCGATATCTTTAACACCAACATCATGAAACAGTGTCATCTTTCTATTACAGGTCCTTGGGAAGGACTTGATAGATGAATAAAAATGCCAAATCCAGTCTAAACACCTGGCTGACTGTGCAACCAGTCATAATAATAACATGCTAGGTCAAATACTTTTTACCTTAGTACACAAGGCTACAGAACCTGTAAGGACATATCGTCCTAGCACTGTTTCCATTTTCAACTCTCAATAAAAATGTTTTCAGGAATCTATAAAATACTGTGAGATGGGTTAATAATATCCCATTGCTCTGTACTTAAATCTTCTCCCAGCATTTGGGCAATTGAGTGCAAAGTCATAGGAAGTATTGCTATACACAATTGTAGTATTTCATATGCAGTTGAATTAAATATTAACAGAGTAAAATTTAAATAACTTTGATCATGTTTGTTTAAACTATCTGTATCTTGTCTTTCAGCAGAAAAGCTCCCATAGTAGCTATTAAGCTTCCCAATATTGAAATTATGATTGCTTTGCATATAACTTCCTCCTTCCTTCTGGTCTACCTTTAGGTACTGGATTTATGACTATACAGTACATCACTATCCTAGGTTTGCCTTTATGTAGCAGGGATGTAGTATATAGATATCTCATGAGGGTTCAATGTGGTCTCTAGAAATAAGCTGGAAATTTTGTTTGTTTGCTCGTTTTGAACCTGTAAATCTGCTGTGGTAAATGACACAAGTATAGGACATCTACAGAAAAGTGTCTGTAGACCAGTGTTTCTCAACCTTGACAATTTTAAGGCATGTGGACTTCAACTCCCAGAATTCCACAGCCAGCAATCCTGGCTGTGGAATTCTGGTAGTTGAAGTCCACATGCCTTAAAATTGTCAAGGTTGAGAAACACTGCTGTAGACATTGATCCCTCATCTGTAAGCAGAAAAGGGCTGAATCCAGAGATTATTCACCACATTCCTCTTTGAGAACCAGAGCTGATGTCACTGCCCTTTACGCTGTCTTCCAGATAACAGAATAACAGAGTTGGAAAGGACCTTGGAGCTCTTCCAGTCCAACTCCCTTCTCAAGCAGGAGACCCTATACTATTCCTAAAGGTGCTTTTTCACTGAATAAGAACTGAAGAGGCTTCTTGGATGACAAACGAAACGTCTTCAAGGAAAAACAAAGAAAGTCCAGTTGCTTCTTGAAAAAGCACCTTTGGTATAACCATGGATGACTGAGAATCTCCATAGACATTTCAGACAAGTGGCTGTCCAGTCTCTTCTTAAAAGCCTCTAGTGATGGAACACCCACAAATTCTGAAGGCAAGCCATTCCACTGGTTAATTGTTCTGTCAGGAAATTTCTCCTTAGTTTGAGGACACTTCTCTCCTTAATTACTTTCCATCCATTGTTTTTTGTCTTATTTTCTGATACTCTGGAATATAGGTCAACCTCTTCTTTGTGGCAGCCCCTCAAATACTGGAACGCAGCTATCATGTCTCTCCTAGTCCTTCTTTTCACTAGACTAGACAAACCCAATTTCTGCAAGTGTTCTTCATATGTTTTAGGCTCCAGCCCCCTAATCATCTTTGTTGCTTTTTTCTGCCCTCTTTCCAGAATCTAGATATCTTTTTTATGATCAAGGGGTGGAGAAGTCAAAAATGAGAAGATAAATGGAAAGAAGCAATGACCTGCAGCCCTTTGATAGGGACAGCTTGGCAACGTTGTTGTACAGTTTGCAAAAGCAGTTCAGAGTAACAACATTTGATCTCCAAGCTCTCCTCTTCAGGATTATGTAAGTACAGCATACTGTATATGAAAGGTCAGAATCAGTTGCCTTGATGCAACACCTAGGGCTACAGATGGGCTTTCTGCTCTCATTGATAAGCCAAGAAATACTGATTTATGGAGCAGTATGTTTTTCTGGTAGTATTTAGGAGCGTCAGCCCTTCAAAGTAGATCAGTCTAGGGAAATTAAAGTCATACAGGGTAATATTACCTTTATTATAAATCTACAGTAACAGATTCTTGCAGGTCCAAATGTACTTCTCCCCTCCTTCCCTTTATTTGAAATATATTCTTAGATTACAATTTTGTCCCAGACTCAGGTTTATCTGACTGTTGCCTTGGTAGTGGTCTTCTTCCTGTGATACCCTCTTTCCGCTATTTTGAATGTAGGCTGCAATGTAATGACTTTGTTTTGTATGCCCTGGCTGCTTGAGAAAGAGCTGTTGCAACCACACAAATTGCAACTGTGCAAATTCTCACCTGGTAGAGGTATTAGTTTGTGCTGTCTTGTTGCTCTTTGCAATTTCCCTGAATTGCAGGGAATCTTAGTGTGAAGACAACCAAGTGCAGGGACAGTTGCACACAATACTTCTGAATACATTCCATGTTTTTTTTAAAATTTTATATTAGTTTCATTTTGCATATGTTGCATTGTAATGGTTACGCTGATCTATGGCCATAGTAAATATTTGATTAATTTGAAGCGAAGTTGGGAATCCTTCCCTTCATCAAACATATCATTTGTTTAATGCCCATAGGACAGCTGTTTACTAGGAGTGGGTGTCTGTGACATGGAAATGATATTGAGGTTGGTTACCACTACCCAGTTTTGTGTTCAATCAACCTTCAAAATGGTTCATTTCAAAAGATAAAACATCTAAAGGATGTATTCTGCTATACCTCAAATTGGATATAGTTCTCAGCCTCACACCATTCTCTAATGGAGATACAAGGCCTTAACAACTAAACCATTCCAATTTATTATTGGTTTTGTACGAGAGTATGATCTGCAAATGCATATATAAGAATTAAAATCAAAGCTCTGATATAGTAGATTTCCCTTTTGGGCAAACCCAAATTATGAGGGGTCCTTTGTGCTCTCTGAGCTTGCTTGTTTTCTTGCAGATGTTTCATTACCCAAATCAGATAGCATCATCAGTGCTAGTAAGGAGTGCTGTTTGCTGTCAGTTTATACTCTGGTATCTTGCTTGTCATACAACCCAAATCATAAACTCACATATCTAGCAAACAGTCATGGATATATGAGGGAAGAAGAGCTTGTCCTGCTCTTTGTATACATATGAAGTCACCACACTCAGTGTTACGTAACAGTTTTGGGGAAAATGAGAAGTTCATCTGATGGCTACTTCGACATCATCCCATTGCTGTTGGGCTTTGGTGTTTTGTTTTTTTTGGAAACAATACAGAAGTTGTTTATCACTGACTTTTTCTGGGATAATTTTTAGCCTCTTAGTCTAGTATCTTAAGGATTTCTTGCTGGCTTCCTTCTGAATTCCTAATCAATTCTAACCATACTTGTATTTTTCAGGATAAGCCAGTGTTGGCCATGTGTTCAGATGTTTGGGGTCTTGGCCAAAATTGGTTGAAACAAATAAGAAATCCTGAAACCCACACAATACTCTGGGCAACCTTGATATCACAACAGACATCTCCTGGTGACTCATGTGATAGAAAAAGGGTTTTATAGAAGTAGGACTTTGCCCGCTTATAGCAGTATGGGCCTTAACTAAGTAAGAATAGCCAAAATAGGTATTTTTGAAAAACCAAATAAACAAGAAAAAAAGGCACACATTTTCATTTAACAACTAATTGATTTATTTAACAATACAAATTTCTTTCTGCTGCTTGGTGTAAGCAGAGAAAAGCTGAGAAACAAAATTAAGTTCTTTTTAAGTTTAAATGTGTACACAACCCCGCGCCCCAACTTCTTACTTCAGTAAATATAAAATTTACAGACAGAAAAAAGCAACATGAAAAGGAACAAGGAGTTGACAAACTGATGACAGGAAGGAAATTTTAGAATTACTAATATAATCTTAGTAAAGGAAGTTAACGGGCAATATTGAGAAGGCATCCCATTTATACTTCAAATTTTCTGCAGTCTGAAACTTTAGTGCATTAAAAAAAACAAGAACATGATGTTAATTAATTATATTATATATTATATGATATAAATATTTGAAAGTGTTGCAGGGTCCACATCTAGTATGTGAAATATACATTTTGCCATTTTTTGTAAATTTATGCGATGTGCTATATACCAGTGCATTTTATCTTTTCACTAGGAACCAGCAAGATCTAGTTTCTCCCTGTGGTCCACTTGCCTGGTAACTGTCATATATTCTTGTCCTAATTTATAAAACAAATGTACCAAATTCACATGCCCCATAAACTTCACTTATTTCACTGGGAATTGTAAATATCTCCTGAAATTAATGAAAGATGACTAACAAACATGCCCTGTGTATGATATCCTAATATTTTCTCATGTATGCCTTCTGTTCTCTTTTCACAAGACTAGCTGTAGGAATTGTTTTCATGGAAGAAATGCTAAAGATGAATTCAGTTTATGTTGTAGAGATCAGTTGGGAATCTTGACTGAACACTTCTCTATGCCTCCTCACACAAGAGGGCCCAGGAATCAAGAATGTTGACGATAAAGCAAGGTTAGAATGTTTTCTTTTGTTGAAATTTCTGGTGGAAGCACCTGTTTTGGGAATGGGGCAGAGGATAGAGTAGCCTCTCTTTAAATTTATGACAGGACAGCCCCAAAATACTTTTGACACCTCTGTGACAACTAGCTTATAATATGGGTTAAACAGATTGCCTTTATCAATTGCCTACTAAGAAGATTGCTGCACTGAACAGCATTTTGTTTTGGGGGGGATCTGAATTAGGTCCTGAGTTGTTAATAAACCCTAACATTCCAAGTGAAAATGACATTTAGGTCGGAGATAAATAGGATAATTTGTCGTTTGAGTTTTTATTGCAGAGCTTGCAGGTATGGTCTCAAATGATATTGCTCTAGGCATCATATTCTGAGGCCATAGGTCTTACAGACGAACCTCAAACACTTTGAAGCCTCTATAATTTGTTAATACTCTGCATGATAAAAATGTTGAACTCCAGACAGAAATATATAAAAAGTACATAACTGCTTAATAGAAGTGCTTCAACAGCACCCTCCATCCGCCCCTAATGGACAATAGTTGAGTTTGAACCTGGAAGCCTGAAACATAAATAGTAAGAAGTATCTGTCACATAAACACAAATCATCTTTCTGGATGACTGGCTTGCACTGTTTGATGTTCTGACTACATAAACAAAGGCCTATGGTGGTCATGCAATGGGAAAAGGAATGTTAGTATTTTAACATGTGGACTAAGCTATCCACATGATGCACACAATAGGACAGCCTATCAACCTGGGCAGTGAGCAGATTGTGATGAAAATCTCATTGTAAATGTAACATTTCCATCAAGCTCTCGTAAGTGGAAAGTATGCATCCATCTATCTGGAAATGATACTATGTGCAATCCTCATTCAGGCATCTGACCATTATGCACGACTATTTGGAGATCCCATTCTTTTGCAGAGAAAAATGTGGAGAAAGGCCTACCTCATATTTTGTGTTGAGAGTTACCAATAAGTTAAATCTCTCAGCTGTGTTTTCCTTTAAAAAAAATATTTACTTCTAAGTCAATATTTATTTATATTCTGCTGAACTCATCGAGAAAATGCTCCCTTGAAGTTTTATGACACATAGAGAAGTGAATAAGGAAATCATGCAATCGCTACAAATTAGAAAAAAATTGGCAAGATCCAAAATCCTCAAAATTTTGGAATTATAAAAATGACCTATTTATGCTAAATTATAGAAGTAGATGGGAGATTATGTGAAATCCAATCAAATTTTGTTAATTTGCTCCTTCATCCTGGAGAATCCATAAAATAACAAGATTCCCCTGCCCGCCATCAACTATACTCAGAATGGCCTTATCAGCTATACACTTGCTGGTCAAGAATCAACTGACTAATTAAGAATAAACCGTCAATGGAGCACATGTCATGTTTTCATCAGCTCCTTGGTATCCAACAAAGAGAATTATACAGTATCACAGTTCTTAACATCTTCAGGTTTTCAGGTTCTAATCAGATGAAGAAGTGTGGAAAGTTTGTTTCAAGCAATTGGAGATAAACAGCTTATCAGGTTGTTACAAGTCAACAGTTTGCTACACTTGGCAAATTGTGGTCAGCGTTATTTGCCCACTGTGTCAAAGCTTTTTGTGCTGCAGTGGAAAACAATTAAGCATCAAATGCAGCCCAACAATACTATTCCTTCCTTCAAGGAAAAAGCGGAAGTCTATCTAAATTATGAGATTAAATTTGTTGCCTAAGTTGTGTTTTATTTGTTGACAAATATTGGTTCAGGAGATTGCAGAAGAGACTGCAGGACTAGTGACTTAATATTGCCTATCACTGTGGTCCTAAAGGACATTGTATTCCCCGCCCCAAACTATAATAGCAACTATTGACATTGTGGCTGGACTTCATGACTACCAGGAATGAAGTGAGGGAGGACAAGGTCAATGGAGTTTCTTCCTTCATCCTAATTCTGGTTTGCTCTCATCACATCTTTGCACTTTAACATTCTATAGATTTAGTGGAAATATTCCTCTGTCCTTTCTGCCTGAGAACAGATGTTCACAGCTGCGACGAACATGAATTTTACAGGAGTGATGATGATCCTCATCAGCACTACCACCACCACATTGGTTAGTATTTAAGGCAGCGATAGGGAGGAAAGGAGAAATAGTAATGGAAGGTATCATCGTTTTAAAGTCTTAAGACGCTACTGTTCTAACTTAACAGTTTGTATGTGTCTGTGGCTATAAATGCAAGATTTAGCATTGTGAAGTTTTGCCTTAAGAAATATTGGTAGAGGCAAACTACAAGTATCATAATGTTCCAGGCCTTCTGAGTGGGGCCTTCTTGCCTTACGTTACTTTTCCACAAGGATCTGTATATAAACAGTCCTACTGGCTCTACCCACATTTTAATTTCAAATATGAAAACAGAGAAGCTCTTCCTTGGGGAACATGTTTATTGTGTTTGAGATGATACACTGGATGCTCTCTGAGCTACAAGGTGGGTGGCGATGAGAGGGGACAAGGATAAAAGAAATCCTTTTCATTACAAACTGACAAAGGTAAAAGTTTTAAACATTTTTCACAACAGCATGTACCACATATCGGAAATAGATCTGGGCTTAATACAAATGACGTAATTCCTAGTAATCTACAGCTACCTTTAATAACTTCATACAGATAATGAATTAGGCTAAAATGCACTATTATATTTGGTTGACTTCAGGAACAGTATCCTTAGTTACATCACAAAATACATTTTGATATCCCAAAGAAGCAAGACTTGCAAGTAGGCATTTTAAACATAACTAATCTACAGCTACAAAGTTCTACTCTTGATAGCATTTACCTTTTGGGGAGGTGGTTGGGGGAGGGGGGAGAGGGGGAGAAAGCAGTATTCCAATCTTCAAAAGGATAAAAGCAGAGAGTAGAATCAGTATAACATATACACAGAAGTCCGTATTGTAAAGGCTATAAAGTTTGGTTGCACACTGCAAAGCTGCATCCCCGCACCTTCACACTGCGCCAAGTAGTCAACATCACTTATGTTGCGTATCTCTTGGTCCACTGTCTGGCTATCCTGTCATGTTCTGCTCTGTTGGTCAGGTACTGAGTGGCTATGCTTCCCACCAGAGGATCAGCTGCAAGAATTCGGCAAGGGACAAGAAGAGAGAGAAAGAAAGAAAGGAAGGGAGAAGACACATTAGTAGTCCTGCCCTGATAAGCAACGTGAGGAGCAAAGTTTCAACAATTCATTTCACACATTTAATAATTAAGACAGGGAAAAAGCACTCAACGCCAGTACCACTTACCGACTCATAATTAATTAATCGATTCAAATGTATGAGGCCACCCAACCCACAATTCTGGACAGTACACAAATTAAAAACACAACCCCCAAACAGTAAGTTAAAAGCAAAATGACTATTACCGGTGGAAATCAATAAACACATTTAACAGAGTTCCATTCAAGTGGTCATTATATCCCATGTAAGCCAGAGCATGGATAAAAATCAGGTTTTCAAAAGCTAGTTTATAGGCTAGCAGGGCTGAACCATCCAAAGCTCTGGAGGGAGGCCATTCTAGAAGGCGGGCGCTGAGAAAGGGAAGGAATGCCTTTTACATCCTGTCAGAAGAAACCGCTTAATAGACCGAACCCAAAGCACACTTTTTTTGGGGGGGGGGGCACTTCTTATAGGATTAGCAGAAACAAAGGGAGAAATGAAGTCCCTCAGACAACTGGGATCTATACCATGAAGGGCTTTTTAGGTGACAACCAATCTTATTCGTAGAACACTACAAACGGCAGCCTTAGTTATATGGGATTAGTGAATTGTGGCATCTCAGTCCCAAAAAAGGCAATTTGGATTCAGAATCTGCATAACAGGATTTCCCCACCCTTCCATCGTGTGTCAGGTGCATCATGATGAGCAGTGGTGGCAATGGAAGCGTTAAGAAGTGGTGTTGTGGGGCCTTCTTTCTCCAGGGCTGGTTCCAGTGGATGAGGAGGAGGTGAAGAGATCTACCCCTTCTTTGTGGGATCCTGCAGGGCTCTGTACTTCCCCCTCCTATTTAGCTGTACTGTTCTTAGCCATTCAGCTGTGGTAATTTCCTGAGTGAACTACTGCAAGGAACTATCCTTGAAGCTACAACTGGTCCAGAATTCATCAGTGTGAGCAGCTATGGGAGTACCTTGCTAAATTATTACCCATTTACACCACTGTTTTGTGGGCTGTTCTGGCTCCTAATGCACATCTAGATGCAACTCAATGCGCTGTTTGTCATGTATAAAAGTCTACATGTACGGGACTGGTTCTCTCTAGGCTGACTCATTCCTCTAGATCTAGCAGGGTGGATGTGCTTTGGGTCCCATCTATTAAGTCTCGATACCATGAAGATTTGTGGAGCCTCAACCCTGCTGGTTTTTTGGGAAGTTGCTAAATACTTGGATGTTCCTTTGGGAATGGGGCTTAGAGACTAGCTGAGCCCATCATTGCAAGTTTGTCTTTCTTATAATCAAAGTGTAGTTTGTCTTCAGCTGCCATAATTTTTCCTAATTTTGATTATGTTCTGTTTCATGTGCTTCTAACCCTATGTAATAATAATAATAGTAATAATAGTAGTAGTTGGAAGGGACCTTGGAGATCATCTAGTCCAACCCCCTGCTCAGGCAGGAAACCCTACACCATTTCGGACAAATGGCTGTCCAGTCTCTTCTTAAAAACTTCCAGTGTTGGAGCATTTACTGCTTCTGGAGGCAGGCTGTTCCACTGATTAATTGTTCTCACTGTCAGGAAGTTTCTCCTTAGTTCTAGGTTGCTTCTCTCCTTGATTAGTTTCCACCCGTTGCTTCTTGTCCTGCCTTCAGGTGCTTTGGAAAATAGCTTAATTCCCTCTTCTTTATGGCAGCCCCTGAGATATTGGAATACTGCTATCATGTCCCCCCTTGTCCTTCTCTTCGTTAAACTAGACATACCCAATTCTAGCAACCGTTCCTTATATGTTTTAGCCTCCAGTCCCCTAATCATCTTTGTTGCTCTTCTCTGTACTCTTTGTGTGCTGCCCAGAGCTGCAATTGAGAGATGGGTAGCAATAGAAATTGATACAATAGATAAACAAATGAAAAATAGACTGGTAGCAGCTTGTATTAGCCGAGGCACAAATAGCAGGCCAGGACTTCTAGCAGAGTCTTTTGTTTCTCATAAGAGACTGGCATACTGGAATGGGCTACAAAAGCAAAGACAAAGTATGTGGCATAATCCAAGACACCATGTACTATTGATGGTCAGGAAGCTCTCCTTGTACATGGAAACTTAACTTAGCCAGTTTGTTTTTTATCTTTGTGGAACCAAGAGTCTATTGTACTACTTGAATCAATCTAAATCTGTATCCCTTGAGTTGGTGCTGCTACTCATTGGAAGACACTAGAAGACTTTCAACCTTCAGGAAAAAAACTTAATTATGGTCCTAAAACAGCTGGAGAAAATCAGTCTGGGGAAGTTCATGTATCATAGCCTTTCTATTGCAAAGCACAGAAGACATTTATAGGTTGGAAGATAATCAGAAGAAAAAGATACTTTTATTCATAAGCTGTTCTATACATGCAAGCAAAACAAACCCCTTTTCAATGTGGATTTATCTCACAGTTTTATAGAGATCATACAATTGCCAGTTTATGCTATTTTCAGACGTGGCAAAAATGAATTTTTTTGTTGACAAAAGTGAAGGAGCTGCTTCATCTGGCTCTGCTTGTTGAAGAATTAATAATGCTTATTTTCATTAAATTGGGGGGGGGGGATGAAAGAGAAGGATAGCCTTACCAGGATTGCAGTCTGTCAAGAGGGAGCAAATAGACAGCAAAACCTTTGAAATAGTCAAAGCAGGACTCCAGTTGTCTTTCAGGATATCCAGACAGATGACTCCCTGACTGTTGATGTTGCAGTGATAGATTCTTGTACGGAAAGTAACCTACAGGTAGAAGAGCAACAGAAGGGGAGGGAGACAAGATCATTACACGCTTTTCAGGCATAGTTTGTTGCTAGCCTTTTGAAACCTGTCTTGAATGATTCTCCCTCAGTGGGAAAAATTTTCTGTCGAGACCTTTCATTTTTGGAAAAAAAAAATATGTTTGTTTCTGATGTTTGTTTATGCCTCATCTGAAAAGAGGTCCCTCTCTTCTTTTGTAAGCAGCTGCCTTATTCACAATTGCTATAACCTGTATGTCTCAAAGCTAAAAGCTTTATTGAGGTTTTTTTCCCGTTGTTGTTTTGACAAGCCTGCAGCATTTTGGATGCTTTTTTTTTTTAAAAAAAAAAACCAACAACAACAGATGACACATACAAACATTTGCATGCCCTTGAGAAATAGTAGTTTCATCAGTTTCCTTGGGGGAAGACAAGTGACATTGCAAGTCCCAAGACTTGTGTACTTGCATACCAAGTTGGAATGCAAGTACAAAAGGGCAGAGTTTGTATCAGGACATCATCACAATTCTGCTGCCACACTTTAAAGAAGCCTAGTGAACTATTTCTGTGTGCATGTGGAAAATTGCACTTAGATACTCAGCTTTCATTTAAAACTGCTGAAATGTGAGATTCACAGTGAGGCACTAGTTTTTTTCACTAGTTATGATGCCCAAACTAGATGATGCTAGTTTGAGAAATCTGAAGAGCATCAGATTGGTGAACAAAGCTCCTCTGGAACACGAAAGCTATCATGATATAGATGCTATGATCCCCCTCAACCAACCTTGGCTCATCTATATGTAACCTGACAGCTTTGAACAATAAGATCACCTCGCCAACTGTTGGCATTTATTTAGATGAGTTTTCCAACACAGTATGAATATGCTCATAAAGCATATTGGTACATTTTGAATATTGTATAAGCAATCTTCAAAGGTATCAGTTTCCACAGAAAACTAAATATTACTCAGGCTGCTTTCCTGAGGCTACTAACACTCATAAAAGTAGACTACTTATTCTGTCTGGTTAGTATATTCTACATAGATCACATCAAGATGATCTCACTTTCAATCTCTGACACTTTCATTTAACTTATCTTGGTAAGGGTGAAAGCCTTCTCTGGTAAGTGACAGTAAGCAGTAAGATCTAGATCAGGGGTGTCAAACTGTCAGATGCATCATAGCGAAACCGCGCCCACCCCATTGCTGGCAATGGCAAAAAAGTCACGATACGTTGCAACATGTCACGTGACATTGTGAGTTTGACACCCCTGATCTAGATGTATTAAGGACTGGCTCTGTTAAATAGGAACTTATATTTCAATAGAATGTGTATGGCTGAAATTTGTTACACTTATGTTTTGAACCATATAATGTGGTAGCTTCGAGAAATATAGTTCTGAGCTACAGGAGAATAAAACTTGGAACAGACCCCTTCCTCTTAGCTAAACCTTTTATATGATTTAGCTTAGCGTGTCACCTAGCTTCTGGTTTCTTTTAAGTGAGAAGGCCTCTGCTGAACCTGAATCAGGAAACTCTGATGTAATGTCATTCAATAATCAAGGACACTACACCAGGATCTGACTTAATATAAACTAGAAATTAAGCACTAAAATGATGTGCAAGAAAGGGAGGAGAAAGTTAGGAAGCAATCCACCCTAATACTTTTTCCATTCAATTCTGTGGTTTTGGATGGAATCCGCAGTGTACTCAGTTTTGCGTCATATGCAAAACTGATGCATGTTCAGATTCCCTTGATGTCACGAATAAACCCTTGAAGAGTAGAGGACCAACTAAGCCTTGTGGCACTCTTGGTGATCCCTTCTTTACAAAGAATAAGCTCCAGAGCATCTCTAGGTCTGCCCTATTTCCAGATGTTTCAAGGAACCTACAAGTGGGAAAAGAGGGAAATAACATTGCCAAGATGACTGTGCACTGGAGCCTTTTACAGATTTATGCCAAATGACAAGCCTTTGTGAAATTGACAGGAGAATGCATATTGGGATAATAGTATGGAAATTCATGTGACTTTCCCACCACTTTTCTTCATCTTTTTTAATGAAAAAAGAGGGTATAAACCTTAATTGGGGGGGGCATGACTAGAATAACTCTTTTGATCCTATCCAGAATATAATACTTGTTAGACAAGAGAAGAAACAGAGAAAGAAGAGATTGGGAGTGGGTCTTAGTTTCTTGATTTCTGTTGTGGGCGTACAACAGATTAATCAACTTGGCAAACCTAACATTTGGTCTACTTATTCAACTTCAGAATGTGAATCTTCCTCATCAAACATCTGCCGCACAGCTGCAATCTTTAAACAAACATTTATACTGGCATTAAACATCTATATTATATCAGTAAGCATGGGAAATCTTAGCTTATGCTTCTGACAATGTTAAAAGCTACCATAGGTTTGACATGCCTTTTTTTAAAAAAAAAAAAAACAGAAAGCAGGATTGAAACAAATCAAACAAGGGCTCTACTCACTTTTTTTTTAAAAAAAAATTACAATTGATTCTATTGCTGATTCTACTTGCACTTTCACTAAATGCCACATTCCACTCAATATGGCAACTTTGAGGCATTTTAAGTTCATTTGCACTGATATTATTGCTCAGAGCACTTGAGATCAATATCAATCAAAGGGCTAATGAAATGTGGTCAACTATTTTATATTAAATATCCCTTTTAGTTAAATTTCCAATGATTTCAGGCCTTTTTCCAGGCATTATCTCCTCTATACAGGTGCATTCCTCATGCTGAAAATAAAAGTGTGAGACTGAGGAAAGCCTGCCCCATTTTAAGATCCAAAGAAAGAGGGAGCAAGAACATAGTTCCATGGCTCTGCCTGATTTTTCCCACTATCCCAAAAACATATCATGTTTAAATATTGAATTATATTAAGATTTTATACATCTCTGCTTCTAGTTTTCTCTTTTTTGGGAAATGCATATATAGTGGTTGTACTTGTTTATCAATGTTCTTTAGTTTCTGGATTTACATTTCAGCTAGCATGGCCAAGTAACATATCTTTTCCTGATCTTTTTTTTTTTTTAAAAAAATATATCATTCCCCGCTCCCGGCCAATAGGAAAAGGGCAAATCTTACTGCCTCCAATAAATGAATCACGTCATTGTCAGACAGTATTGTACTATAGCATATGACTTGGCTGAATGTTACAGTCATGTTCATTTTTAATATAATAAAGATCATCTTTCAATATGATCAAAATCAGAAAAAAATCCATGTTTTGCACTATAGCACTTGTACAAGATTTAAATGGTGGATTGTAAACAGCTGTTGGTATATTTAGGGTATATTTATGTTTCAGTAGACTTTGAAACAATTAGGAAATGAGTGCTTGTCACAGGAAAAGACCACAAGTTGAAATGTTTGATAATTAAAGAAGCATTGTATCTGATATGTTATTAGATAAAAAAAAAATACAACTTTTGAGAAAGTATTTATCAAATTATACACTATCAAGCAAACCAGGGCTTCAATACTTCTGTTTTTCATTTTAGGTACTGAGATTACACATTTCTATTGGTTTATTGAAATAAATCTGATTTCCAGCAATGTGGGCAAGTTTATCTTCTTAGGACAACCATATCCTGCTTTAAAAGATTTGGGCAAAAAAGCAATATAGTGTTACAAGAACTATCCTGTTTCCCTGGCATCTTGCTAGTTCAAAGGAATAAGAAGACTGGAAAGAGTATAAGTGAAAATGTAAAATCAGAATAAAAGAAGGATGGCATCAGAAAGGCTGAAATTGTTGTTTCTTCTACTTTTCTCAGTGTTTCATTTATTTAGCCCCATCTCTACTATAGCAGATACTTCTTAATAAACAGTCTAAAATATTGTAGCTCTTCAGAGTGAAAACAATCTAATATAAGGCCATATGTGAAGAAAAGTGACTTGTACTTACAAAGAAACAGTTATAGAATGTTACCTCGTACTGTTACTACCAAGAGTAATTTGATGCGACTACTATATCTGGGTACTTTGAGCAATGAGGCCTTATACTCATTTTGTCAGAATAGAACAATTCAACAGGATATTTTATGACCTCTTGGAATGTTTTTCCGCATGGATGCAGAAGTAACGGGAATTATGCCCTCCAAATTCTATTCTTCTGTCCAACAGGTAGCAACAGAAAAATGGGGTCTGGAATAATATTCTCAGAAAATGCCCAACTCTGAAAGCCTCCAGTGAATACTGCAACACTGTGAAAGCAAGATAATGTGAGCCCTTTTGTCTGGTCTCAGAGTCCCAGTTTGCTAAGGATCCTGTGCTATGCACCATGTTGGAAAAGCTTCTTGCAGTTGTTGCTATTCTTGAATGAAAATGGAAGACAATTGAAAATATATGCAAAGATACAGAAACTGCATAACCTTACCTTTGGTGGTTTAAATGGATAATCAGATGAAAATGTGATATCCAGAAAAAATACGCCACCTTCATATACAGAACCTGGGGGACCTAGGATAGTAGATCTCCATTCGTAGATGTTATCACCTTTAGGCCCAGCACTATTAAAATAAGCAAGAGAGAGAAAGAGAGAGAGAAAATGAAAATGAACTGTATGACCTTTTACAACGTTATTCTTGTGAATGGCCTCTGTTGTTTATATATGTCTTGGTGCTTCTTGGTGTGAAGAAACTGTCTATTATCACTTGTGCTTCTGTCAATATATTCAATACAAGGCTCGTTTTTGTCTTTTCAAACAGTTAATTGTGTAGTCTTTTGTTTGTTGGTCTCTGTGGGCACATGGGCCATATATAAAACTGCCTTAAAGCACAAAGGCTACATAATTCAAGGCATATGAAGAGCATCATCTATCTCCCATATTTATAGCCTATTTTTTGTACAAGAAATTCAGGATGGCGTATACAGGATTACCTATATTTATTTTTGCAAACTCATGAAATAGATTAGCATAACATACCAAGTAAGCTCCTTAGAGGAGTGAGGATCTAAACCAAAGTCTCTCCAGCAATATTCCAACAATATATTATGCTGTGTATAGAGTGAAGCTTTTTCAGTAAATTTATATAAGGAATTTTAGTTTGTTTGTTTCTAAAAAAGTTAAGCTTTTATTGTCACTTTCATATACTGCTGGCAGTAATAACTATATAATCCTAAAGTTTCTGGGCAACCATTCCCTGGTCTAAGATAAGTAAATGGAATGACCTATGATAAGGTAACCTCTATTTCTTCATCCAATACACTTACATGCAATCAGTTGCAAGTAATTTTCTGGTCTCCTACTACTTAGTGTTCCCCAATTCACAACCATTTTCTTTTCTTTTCTATTAGTCTATTATGCCTAGGTCTTCTGAACTGCAATCCCACATATCTGGAGGCCCATCAAACTGAGGAAGACTACATGTATTTCCCAAAGCTCTTAAAAGTTGTTCACTCACTTCCTGAGAAATGTTGAAGTCTGAAATTTGCCAGTTCACAAAATGTCTCGTACTCTGCCAACTTTGCCAAAGATTTTTATTTTTTAAAATATAGACTGACAAGCCATTTTGGTGTCCAATATTTATACTGTTCCTCACATACTTATGTAAGAAGGGATGGAGTGGGATAAGGAAATATTAGAAGAAAACAGAGGTGATAATACCATTGCTCAAATAAACTTCCTCTTCAAAGGCCAGTTTAGACAGAAGAATTAAGGTTTATGATTGTGAAGGAACTGAAAAAACTACAAATACAATTTCAGAGCTTTTGCCCCTTTATAAAACCATAATGTCTTGTTTATCTTCATTCCTTCCTATTCTATACTTCTCAGAAAGAATTTCTGACAAACAATTCACAAAAAAACCCAACTTTCTTAGAAAGAAGTACAATTCAAATACAAATCTTGAATGGATATATCAAAATGCATCTTTGTTGTCATTATTTAAAATACAGAACTACATCCACTTGCAAGCTTGGGAAGTTCTCCTTGCTCTCTTATCCCTGTGTAACTTCTACCCAACCATCAATCTGCTCTACAAAAGAATTGGGGGAAACAGCACAGGGGTGCAAGATACAAAAGTGTTTTCCCTTCTGGAGGTGACCAAATTGAATACAAGTGGGAAGTAAAAAAAAAAAAACAGTCTGGAGAAAGATAATGGAAATTTGTTTCCTTATCAGAGCAAGAAAATTGCATGGACATGTCTATGTAAGTCACTAGGAGCAGAGGCATCCATCATGAAGATGGGAGATATCAAGAAAGTAAAACTGGCAGTCACAACTGTGCAATTAAACCCTTATCCTTTTTAAACGTGTTTGTACCTGCAACATGTGTGGGGCTTTGCACAGTCATAGCTGCTATCTGGGCTTTTTTTTTCACACACACAGACACACCCTGCACAGGTCTTTCACTGTGAGTTCAGCTCAGCTTACTTCTGGCTTCACTTTTATATTTCTTAGTAATATTGTTTTAGACAAAAGTCGTTCAATAGAAAATGGATTTGAGTTTCTCAGATGCTGAAAGGCTATAGCTAAACTAGTTGTACATTAAGAGTAAGCCAGAGACCAAAAAAAGAAAAAGAAAAGAAAGACTGGATTAGTGCGTACACACGCACACACACACACGCACACACACACAGCGCAATACTGAACATGGGACAAGGAGTACAGAGCTCTGCTGGGGAGAGGAGGAGATACATGTCCACAGCAATAAGTTCTAAAATACAGAATGTGTCCTTCTCTGTTGCTTTATTCTGCACCCATGATTTGACCAGTTTGAGATGGTAACAGTCTGACATATATCTGGTAATATTTCAGATTGTTAACTTTTGCCTTTTAATCAGTATTTCTTTCATAACACAAAGGATGCAAACAAAGGATAGGAAAATTCTGACTAAGAAGAAGCAGTAAGGCATAAGGCTATGTAACTGATAGCATTCACAGATCAATGCTGCCGCAGAGTTTCTTTTTTTTTAAACAGAGAGACAATACAAAAAGTGGGAGCAACAGAGAAAATATTTAAAACTCCCGCACAGGTCATCAGGTTTTTCTAATTAACTCCTGACACCCATTAAGCATATAGCTATTAATTAGCATTAGGTTTGGAAGTTAAATTTCTCTGGAACAATTCTATTTTGGCACAGGTTTCCTTAATGGCTCTTTTATAGCTTAATGCAGGGGTTTGTGCTCCTATATCATCTGTCAGTTGCCTTTCCTTCACACACCTCTAATAGCTGGATGCGATTCAGTCAGTTTAATGAAACACAGAATTGACTTAGCAACATATTTCAGCCAAATTAATCAGTCACAATTAAGGTTACTGCCTTAAGCTGTGTGCCAAACTACCTGCTAATCACTCCAGTCAGAAAAAGGGCATCTATCAATTAAATAGTCAATCATCTAAAAGCAATAACTCCTAAGTTACTGTTTACAATCATTTACTGTAATACTATTACTGTTGCTTAACACTATAAAGGTTGCCCACTGAGAGGGAGGATCTATTATAACATTTTAGGTAGTTTAGCCTTATAAGGCCAGTCTTTCCGAACTACCACTCTTCAGGTATGTGGGATTGTGATTCCCATGCTAACTGGGAATTATGGAAATTGTAGTTTGGCGTATCAGTTTAAGACTAGTCTAGGGAATGTGGATATAAAAGGCATGTTGCAAAACCCTAATTATTCTATTAGCTCCAAACAGGGACTTTTACTGACAAAAAATCCAGGAGGAACCAAAAGATAGGAAAGCGCCTCCAATGCAATAGCTTTTCATTGGACCAATGTGTAATGTTTTTTTTTAAAATTGTAGTCCCAAGCATTCAATAGTTCATTAAAGAAAACTATGGTGAACAAACATTATTTCAATTACCTTTGATGTATCAGACACCGAAGATTGTCTATGGTAAAAATAACAGTTAAAAGTGTAAAATGTACTTTTATCTTATATTATTCAGCTACAGAGCAGTAGCAATTTTGGCTAATGTCTTTAGCCAAGGCAAGCTAATTCAGGACACTTTTGTATCGCCGTCACTATATTCCGTGTTGCCTCACCAATGGTGTTATCCCTTCGTTCAATGCAAGACCAGCTTCAACTATTAAGCCTAAGAGCCAGGGGCTTCTACCAATGAGAGAATATCTGGCTCCCAAACTCCATGGATCGCTGGTGTTGAGGATTGAAATACGACGTCTTGCCATTTCTATCTTGGCAAAAATGAAGCACGGAATCAGGGGAAAGCAGCACTGATGTAGCATCAAATCCCTGTGGGGAATGCCATCCATTCCACCCCTGCTTCTCCCACCAATGCAATGGTAGATGTTTGTTCAGGTCAAGCTTCTGAAAGTTGAATCAAAAGACAATAAATGAAAATAACTCCCCTTTTAAGGTAGAAATGGACAAGATGTGGCCAATGAGAAGACCTGAAACTCAGCAAAAACTCAAAAAGCATATGTTGCCTTCCCTTGCATTAAAGCATGGCTGGCTCAGGAATTTTTGGACTTGAAGTCCACAAATCATAAAAGGGCCATAGAATCACTAGATTATATTATATGATCATAAGGCTACCTGACAGCCATTCAGGCTATTTGTCTATCTAGACTACCATTCTCTGCTATCACTGAAACTCAGACAGAATTCTTTCTTACCACCTTTGTATCTTTTAACTGAGATACTAGTCACTGAACTTGGAACAGTTACAGCCACATTACGTGATCCAATAAAATGCTATTACCCGTCCATTTGGTCCATGCCAATCACATTGGTAACATATGCCCTGATTTTTGTTCTTCGTTTTGAAAAGTACCAGTGATTCCCAGATCCATTTAAAATACCCTAATTTAAAAACCCTGCTATTATGTCATCTGAACTGATTTCATCTTCCATAAAAATTTATCTGGGAAAAACATGCTGGAATGGGAAACCAGAGTGAGCCTATCACTTCAGTGCAAACAGTTAAGATGAATGATATCCAGAAAAATCACTTTCTTTTCTACAAGACCAGGTGCAATTTGAGCTCTGACACTTGGCCTTGTACCTTTTAAAAATCTTGTTTAGACAGATAGCAATGTAGTTTATAAATATGAGCTGAGACACTCTGGTTTTGGGTAACAGTTTTAAAAATATATTTATCTACAACACCTCTCTGCCTCCTTTCTTTTCCACCTCAGTTTTCAATCTTTCTCAGCCTTACAGGCCATAATTTCCCCTCACTTTTAGTTCAGGAGTCACATGAGGGAAATCTCACAGCAGTGATGGCAGATAGTTCAAATCAAAGGGAGAGCCCACATGCTCAAGAGTATGTTTTTCTCCATCAGAAAATATTTATTTTCATATCACCTTTATTAATGTTTAATATATAATTCAAGATGGTGAACACTCCTAATATTCCTTCCCCCTCCTTTTTTCCCCCTCATAACAATTGTCCTGTGAGATAGAATGGGCCAAAAGAGAGAGACTATATAATGACTGGTCACCTAGCCAACTTTCATGCTATAACTCAGTGGTTCTTAACCTGGGCGATATTGCCCCCCAGGGGGCAATTTCGTTTTTCAGAGGGGCAATGGAATGAAAAGGG